TAGTCAACCTGTGGAACTCCTTGCCAGAGGAGGCTGTGAAGGCTAGGACTATAATAGAGTTTAAAGAGAAGCTAGATAAATTCATGGAGGTTAGGTCCATAAAAGGCTATTAGCCAGGGGATAAAATGGTGTCCTTGGCCTCTGTTTGTCAGAGGCTGGAGAGAGATGGCAGGAGACAAATCGCTTGATCATTGTCTTCGGTCCACCCTCTCTGGGGCACCTGATACTGGCCACTGTCGGCAGACAGGATACTGGTCTAGAAGGACCATTGGTCTGACCCAGTACGGCCGTTCTTATGTTCTTATGTGTTTAGATGTCCGGAGTGCCTCAGATCTGCGCGCCTCTTCACTCCATTTTCCAGTAGGAATCCTTACACTGACAAATGTGTATTCCATAGTTGGACTGAATTGCTGGGGGACATGGTATTTGTGACTCCTGCCTCATATGACAGCACTTGCATTACTGTCTGTGGTGTTAACAAATGCAGCAGTGCAGCTAGTCTAGTCCTGGTCCCTTGATGTATCGCTATGGTCATATGATCAGCTGATTCTCCTACCCCACTCCAGCCAGGACTGGGTCAGCTTGGCTGTGACAGTGGTTGCCAGCTCAATAGCACAGAACTTTGTGGGTGGCCCTTGCAAACTGCGCACCAAAGGTGCCCCAGACAGAGGCGTGGTAGAAGCCAGGCCTGGTGACTCTCGCTACATTCTCTGTAACAGGACGGTGAAGTGGTTGGCATAAATACGCTGAAGGTAACGGCTGGCATCTCCTTCGCAATCCCCTCTGACCGAATCCGTCAGTTCCTAGAAGAATCTCACGAGCGGCAGGCAAAAGGTAGGAGTGTTGTGATGCCATCAGATCTCTTATCCACACCTGTACGCCGCCGACCCAGAGGGGAGCTGGCCTAGGGTAGGGCTGTGTGACAAAGGAATCGCCCAATGGGCTGCTTTCTCCCGTGCTGTGCCCAGACTAACATAGCGTTTATGAATTCATTAGTCATCCTCTCCAACATTAATGAGAGAATGGTCGCTTCCCCGTGTGCCAGTTAATTCGGATGCACTACCCTGTGTCTGGTGGAACGGACCGGAACGTGGCTTTGCTAGCAGGATATGAAAGTTCTCTGTAGCATATTATGGGGTGAACCCAGATCCCATGGCCAGATGCAGCCCTGCTGGGAACTGGGAGCACACAGGAGACACACGCTGGGATGTAACGTGCCAAGTGTCCAGCTGTCTCAGGCAGGCAGTGGCGCCATCAGCACTGTGTTGATGGGGCTGCTGCTAAGGGGCATTTGGGAGAATGGTGGTTTCTGACTGGTCCCCAAATTCCCTTTGGAATGGAGACCCTGGAATAAAAGCGGTCAGGTCATTGGTCATAAACCTGCTAACTTATGTTCAGGGGGTGCAGTGGCAGGAAGGCTTAACTGCCACTGAGGGAGCTGAGCTCTCAGCATGAGGGGGGAGTGGGCGTGGGGCAGCCTGGGAGTCTAGATACATTGTGCCCCCTAGGTGGGAACACCTCTCTTCAGCCTGCTTTCAGTAATGGGAATAACCCAGTACATTAAGGGAATGGAGGAGAGGGGGATAAATGAGGATGATCCCTGGAGAGATCGGTGTGCACATCATCTGTGGAAAACAGGAATAAAGGCAAAAGTGCAACCTCCTACTGCTTGGTGAACACTCTCCGTGCTGCAGTGAGATATGATGCTCTTAGTGCAGTGAGATATGATGCTCTTAGTGCAGTGAGATATGATGCTCTCTTAGTGGCCGTGCTTAATATGGCTCTAGTAGCTCTAGGCACCTTTTCCTCTCCTGATGTAAACATTTTAGCAAGCTTAAACTAAACCGGAAATGTGGCAATTTGTATTTATCATGCCACAGTGACCCAAATGCATGTCCAGCTGGAGCTATTTTGTCAGCTCCTCAACCCCCCTTTTCCCCTTGGACGTTCCAAGCAAACGTCTGAGGTTTCTGGGGGTGGTTTTGTGTCTGATTTGATTTCCTGAATGCTGGCTCTGTCCTTCTAGGGATGATTCGACCCAAGAAGAAATACATGGGATTCCGAATGCTTCCCCTCACGTTTAAGTAAGCTTTGTTTTCTGCACTTGTCACTGGCTTTCCTGTAGTCTATTGCACTGTCTATCGTTGGAGGTGTGATTCCCAGCTTGTGGCGACGTACCCACAGCAGCTTTGACTGAGCCAACACACTAAAAACAGAATGTAGTTATGGTGGCACAAGAAGACAAACAGGGTTAAGTGCCCTGAGTCTGTGCCTAGCATCTGGGACAGCTATCTACCTGGGGCAGCTAGCCCCCCTCTGTGCATGCCACCACAGCTAGACACTAAAAAGAGCATGCTAGCTCAATCAAAACTAGAAGAGTCACGTCACCCTGCCACCTCCCCAACAGCTCAAAGTGTAGACATGCCCTCACTGTAAGACAGAGCTCAAGACAATCTAGCAGGGAGTTACCCATAACTCTCTTCGTGGGAACCGGAGAGCTTCTGATGTATGTACAGAACTTCCACTAACAGTGGAATTTGCTCCTTTGCCATGCTGCGCATGCGCCAGGTATCTCAAAGCTGTCTGCAAAGTTAGAGAATTAACCACAGGTAGCCTGGGGGTAAGGCGACACTTCATCAGTTTATATTAAAATTGTTTTTATCTGCATGGATACGGATTATGACTCACACCCATGTCACTTAGTTGGCTTTTTGGGGCAAGGACTGTCCTCATAGTCATCTATATGCAGCCAAGGATGAGGCCATGATATAGATTGGAGCTTCCATGTTCTGTGAAAGTATTAATAATAATAATAAAGGCGATTATGCAGGTGACAAGGGACTCAATCCAGAGGAATACACAGGGTCCTAGAGAACTTAAAAATCTCAGCAGAAAATAGTAGCATGCTATTCAGCTTAGAAAACTGCAAACGTATCTGAAGGGAACAAGGCCCACAAGATAAGAAGTTTCCAGGTTATTATTAAAACAATTTTAAAAACAGCATGTATTAAAGGGGTCCAAAAAGCTGCTTATAACTTAAGAAGCCCGTTATTCATGTGATTACTTATATTTAGGACTTCGCCTCACTCACAGTGAGCCATAGCGTAAATTAACTATGCTTTCAAAAACCATCCCTGAATGTTGCTGCAGCATGAATTTAAGTGTCTGCATTTCTGGACAAGTGAGTGCTATGCTGATTTAAAATCCACTAGGTCTTCCAGTCCAGATACCAAGGTGGAATAACACCACTCCATTTCTGAAATTACAGTATTAAAAGAAAGACAGTTTTCCTTAGGCCACCTGCGAGTTAAGGGATTAAGCCGTAATGGGCTGATCAAGCGTTTCATATGGAGTGTTTTACCATCATGCTTCCTTTCTCAGTCTCATCCGGGAACTGAAAATCAATTATAAAGATTTCCCAGACCTGAACTCCGGAGTCTATGTTTTTGAAGTGATTCAGGGAACTGCTGCTGCAAGGTAAGAACCTAAAGATGAAGGCTGCACCACATGCCTCTTCATGGGCATTGCTGGGGCCTCTCCAAAGCTCGCATTGCAATGTTCACGTGCAATCTCTCTACAGCCTTCTTTAATGCTATCATCTCTGAATGGGAGCTGACGTTCTGCTCACGCTCAGAATCCATGCACTAGGATGTGAATGGCCATCACAAGTACAAGGTCATTTCAGATTGGAATCAATTTCCCTCACAGCCTAGTTGTAAAAGTACATAGAGCATTTTCGGCCCTGCCCTTGGGACGGAAGAATCCCAAGCATTGTTACAGGCTGGGGACCGACTGGCTAAGTAGCAGTTCAGCAGAAAAGGACCTGGGGATTACAGTGGGTGAGAAGCTAGATGAGAGTCAACAGTGTGCCCTTGCAGACAAGAAGGCAAATGGCATTGCACTAGGAGGAGCATTTCCAGCAGATCTAGAGAAGTGATTATTCCCCTTTGTTCAGCACTTGTGAAACCACATCTGGGCTACGTCTAGACTGGCATGATTTTCCGCAAATGCTTTTAATGGAAAAGTTCTCCGTTAAAAGCATTTGCAGAAAAGAGCGTCTAGATTGGCACGGACGCTTTTCTGCAAAAGCACTTTTTGCGGAAAAGCATCTGTGGCCAATCTAGATGTGCTTTTGCGCAAAAAAGCCCTGATCGCCATTTTCGCGATCAAGGCTTTTTTGCACAAATCTGTCTACACTGGCCCTTTTGCAAAAGGACTTTTGCCTGAACAGGAGCAGCATAGTATTTCTGCAAGAAGCACTGATTTCTTACATGAGATCATCAGTGTTCTTGCGGAAATTCAAGCGGCCAGTGTAGATAGTTGGCAAGTTTTTCTGCAAAAGCACCTGCTTTTGCGGAAAAACTTGCCAGTCTAGACACAGCCCTGGAGTATTGCATCCAGTTGCAGGCCCCCCACTATTGAAAGGATGTGGACACATTGGCGAGGGTCCAGCTGAAGGCAACCAAAATGATGAGGGGGCTGGAGCACATGACTTATGCAGAGAAGCTGAGGGATTTGGGCTTATTTAGTCTGCAGAAGAGAAGAGCGAAGGGGGATTTGATAGCAGCCTTCGACTTCCTGCAGGGAGGTTCCAAAGAGAATGGAGAGAGGCTGTTCTCAGTAATGGGAGAACTGCCCAAGTAGAGGATTGTGCCCTAAATCAGATTTATCAAGTGGTGGTTTTTTACTAGTAATCTGACCTGTGTAACATCCTGTGAAGATGATCACTTGTAATCTTAAGTGGAAGGGTTGACTTTATACAGCTGTAGTTGTATTGCATATGCACGGGCTCTAGGGCTGTGTCTACACTGGCGCGATCTTGTACAAAAGCAGCCGCTCTTGTGCAAAAACTTGCTGCCTGTGTACGCTGGCTGCGTGTTCTTGCGCAATTAAACTGATGTTCTAATATATGAAATCAGGGCTTCTTGCACCAGAACTCTGACGCTCCCGCTCATGAATAAGCCCTTTTGCTTAACTGTTCTTGCGCAAGAGGCCAGTGTAGACAGGCAACATGAATTTCTTGCGCAAGAAAGCCCTATGGTTAAAATGCCCATCAGAGCTTTCTTGCACAAGAGAGCATCTACACTGGCATGGAAGCTCTTGCGCAAAAGCACATCTCTTGCTCAAAAGCACGTGCCAGTGTAGACGCTCTCTTCTGGAAGAGTTTTTGCACAAGAACTCTTCCTCAAAAGAGTTCTTGCACAAGAAGCTTCCAGTGCAGACATAGCCTAGGGCTGTAAAGGGTTAACCAGAGAGGGTCAGGGCCAACTGTGCCAGAGACCCCCTTGCAGAGTGGCATTGAGTACTAGGGATGTCAGAGTAACCGTTTAGAGTTAACCAGTAAGCATCAGCTTGTTTCCATTATGGTTACACACTTCACTGGTGCGCACCAGCTCCCAAGGAGCAGTGGGCTCTGCAGTATAATGCTTATGCTGCAGTGTAGCCAGGAGCGGGGCTAGCAGCTGGTGCATGCCAGGAGCCGTTTATAAACCATTTTATAAGCTGGGTCGCCGTGTGTACTGGCTCCATTACTCTCAACTTTATCATGATTCAAAGTTTCTGGTTTCTTTATTGTAGCTCTGGCATGAGAGATGGTGATGTGATTATCAGCATTAATGGAAAAACAGTCAGCTCGACAGAGGATGTAAGTGAAGCTGTTAAAAACAATGACGTTCTTTCAATTGTGGTTCGTCGAGGAAATGAAGATGTGATCTTGAATGTAATTCCAGATGAAATTGATTAAAGGATGACTTCCATCAGAAATAGTTTCATTAAAGTCAGACTTGCACTATGTAGCTTAAGACAAAGTTTATGCTCTATGGGGGTTTTTCCTACTACAGTGTAGGAGAAAATCCTTCACAGGTGGCCTAGAAAGCAATATTTAATCACTTAAAAAATCTTTAGCAAAATCAAACTGACAGTTTTTATCCCAGTGTATTTCACTTCAAACACTTTTGAACATAACTATTGAAGGATCTGATTTATTTTCCTCTTTCCATATTTAAAGGAATGTAAAGTTAGCCAAAAGTACACTGGCTGTAATCCAGAATTTGGACAGAATTACTTATGTTGTCTAAACTTAACTGACATTATGTGCAGAGATCCTATTACTGACAACTTGGGCCCTGGTCAAATTCTAACTGAAGTCAAAGGGACTAAATTTAATTTTGGCTCTTTTGCTGAAAGTTTGGTATATATTTGCTTTTCTATAACATTGTGACTATAAAAACTGGCTTTGGAAAATAGCTCTTTGCAGTAGATAAGTTTTCCACATGTGTAGTGGAAGCAGCTGAACTCTCAACTAATGGAGATTTTTTTAAATGCTTTAACTTTTGGGTGCTCAAAATACACAGCTTGAACTGCCTGATTTTCAGAAAGAGCAGGGCACATGGCCCTTATGACGAAACCAGAGGGTAGCCAAGAGTTACTAATCACTTAGGAAAAATGTTTATGGTGACAATTTTCACATTTTTTTTTCCTTCAAGTGATTGAATGCAAAAGTGTAAGTTAAAGACTAAATTTCAGCTACTCGGCCATGTTTGTTTACAATGGTGGACTGTTTAAAATCATAGATGTGGGAAAGTTTTGCACAAACTGTATCAGAGATTCCTGTATTAAAATGCCCAGAGTCTATTTACATACACTCTTTAATGCTACCTCGTGCCTCCCTCACATTTTTGTGTTCTTAGTTTCTGCTGTGGTGTTCTTTTGCCCCAGCCCTGCCTTCCAGTTAACTCCTCCAACATTTCTGATCTCCTCCCCATTCCTCCTGTATGAGCCACAGTAACTACATGCTCTTAACTAAGCATACAACTTGCTAGCAATAGTGACTTTTAGGATCACACTGCACAGGAACAAAGTTGTGCTGCTCAAATCTTCTCCCATTTACACACTTCACTGAGGCTATGTCTACACTGGCGGCTTCTTGCACAAGAACAAGAAGAGACACGCAAGAACATGGCCAAACTACCATGTGTGAGAGATGCTTTGGCGCATTTTAGCCATAGGGCTTTCTTGCGCAAGAAACCCCTGCCGTGCATCCACACTGGCCTCTTGCGCAAGAGCTCTTGTGCAAGAGACTTACATCTGTTAGAAAAGAGCGTAGCTCTTGCACAAGAAGCTCTCTTACCACACTTTACTGTAAATCTTCTTGCACAAGAGCGAGTGGGCAGTGTGGACGCTCTGCGGAAGAACGGCCCTTCTTGTGCAATAACCCACCAGTGTAGACGTAGCCTGAGTGAAGTAAATAACTTAACTGTTGATCACTTCCATAGCCCACAGGTGTTTCCACGGCCTTGTGATGAAAATGTCATCATATGTAGTGCTAGCATTCAGTGACCCTCTGAAAAAGCTACTGCAATGGGAACAGCTACTCTTGTCCACAGAGAGGCTCAAAACAGTCCTTGAACACATTCTATATTGACAATTAGCATGGAAAGGTACAATGCTCCACTGTGGTGTCAAACCTGTTATTGGGGGGGGGAGGGGGAGAGGAAAACACAGCCCAGCACATCTTAACGGGAAGAATATACCAGAAATAGTTTTGTTTGTAAATTAAATTTGAGGTGCGCACACAGAAGTTAGCCATAGCATTGTTCTGCTCCAGAACATATTTATACCGTAGAAAGACAGGCTGTTCTGACTCTACAGAACAAAGGGCTCCAATTATTCAGGGACAGATGCCACATTAAACTTCTCCTGGTATCAATTCTTAAATAGAATTGGTTCTGTTCAGTACATCGTGCACCAGTTGCTGCCATCACTAGGCATCAGTCCTCCAGTGATAAGGAGAATAAGGTCAACAAACCACCAGATCCCAAGTCCTCCAAGAGTTAGTAGTTTTCCCACTGCTGTCCCTGTATGGCCCAGACAGAATCGGTCCACTCCAAAACAACCCAGGAAGAAGGAGTAGAGTAAAGTGGTTATAAAATAGTGGCCAGTGTACCTGCAATAAATGATGAATAAATTAATCTCAAATACAGTTTTATTGAGGAAAGAGATAAGACACCCTTTCATAACCCTGAGCCTGTACTGTATCAGCCACCTCCATTTTTTACAGTATAGCTCCCTCTAATGGACTTGGAGTTTACAACCCTTATGAAAATGAGCCAATAAACCACAAAGGAATTCCCACTGTATCCTGAGGTAGGCAGCAAATCCATCAAGCAAAGACTAAAAATGCATATAAAGTTACAACAAGCGAAGCGGAGAGGGGGCTGCAGACAGCGAAGTTTAAGAGGAAGAGCAAGAAATCCAGGCTACCAGGTGAGAGTACTCGTTTTTGGTGTGATTGAGTTTGCTCGACTGTTTAAATTTGGAATTTTGATGCTGAGTTCAGGTGATTTCACTTTCAGTTACCGTGATAATTGGGACCGAGTGCCTGATCCTTTATTCCCTTGATTGCCTTTGATCAGTCTTCCCCTCTGTGACTAAGGAGGGGGTAGGCCTGACCTAGGCAAGCAGGCTTTAAAAACCAGAGGCAGAGTGACCAGGGAGCTGCAGGCAGGGGAGTTTCAAAGAGAGAGGCCTACTATGGTCAGGAAGAGCTGAAACACCTGTGCCAGCACTGCTTCTGTCTCCTCCGCCTGCAGCCAGACAGACCACCTGACCATGGATGCCTCTACCCAGATCCTGGTGTAGTTTTGCAGGGACTGGGTTTTGCAATTCCCACTTACTTATATCCAGGCGGGGGGAAACCATCCAGTGTGAAAAGTGGCTACTGGTGGAATCTCTCAGGCAAAACATGAGAGCAAGACATGAGAAGTCATTCAGCGCAGAGTAGAGCGGAAGATTAGGCCTTAGTTGGAATATTGTGTCCAGTGCTGGGCACCATATTTCAAGAAAGATGTGGAGAAATTGGAGAAGGTCCAGAGAAGAGCAACAAAAATGATGAAAGGTCTAGACAAGATGACTTATGAAGGAAGACTGAAAGAATTGGGCTTGTTTAATTTGGAAAAGATAAGATCGAGAGGGGCCATGGTAGCGCTTTTCAGGTATCTAAAAGGGTGTCACAAGGAGGAGGGAAATAAATTGTTCTCCTTAGCCTCAGAGGATAGAATCAGGTATCTGGGGCTTAAACTGCAGCAAGGGAGGTTTAGGTTGGACATTAGGAAAAAGTTCCTACCTGTCAGGTGGTTAAACATTGGAATAAGTTGCTTAGGGAGGTTGAGGAATCTCCATCTCTGGAGATATTTAAGAGCAGGTTAGATAGAGGTTAGATAGACATCTCTCAGGGATGGTCTAGACAGTACTGTGTCCTGCCATGAGGGCAGGGGACTGGACTCAATGACCTGTTGGAGGTCCCTTCCAGTTCTAGTGTTCTATGATTCTACAACCCAGCCAATATTTGGAGCAGCAAGTGCTAGTGATGTCTTAGCTACCCAACCCAACCTTCCAGAATGTAATATATATTTCTGGAGTGAATCAATCTTACTTTATGCATGGCTTATTCCCACGTAGAAAAGTCCGAGGCTCTGCACACTCGATACCATCTAGTGCTTTACACTGCACTGGAGTGTGGTCTACGTCACTATAGGCTTGGCCACCAAACTGTCAGAGGAAAACAAATCACACAATTGAGATTATTTACTTTGGGGGGAGGGAGGAAAAGGACAGTTAAAAGGCTATTTTCTTATCACAAAGAAAAGAGGAGGTGGCCTCAGTTTGAAGTGTTTAATACTTAGTGTAGGTTCAGTAGATGCCTGCAAGCTTTCAGTCAGAATTACTTTTAGTTGTCTCTGGAGTTGGAAACTCCTCAGAGTATGGTATGACTTGCAGGTTTAATTAACATACACTCTGTGCTTCTCCCCACACACTATCATGTCCCTGTGAATTCTTTGTCAACGGACAAAATTTAAATATGTGCTAGTGATCAATAGTTCACAATATATCACCTTGTATATCAGCTAACTGAAAAACCTCAAGCGCTTCAATGCTGTCAATTCCTAACTGTCAGGGTGGTTAAACACTGGAATAAATTGCCTAGGGAGCTTGTGGAATCTCCATCTCTGGAGATATTTAAGAGCAGGTTAGATAGACATCTATCAGGGATGGTCTAGATGGTACTAGGTCCAGCCATGAGGGCAGGGGACTGGACTCGATGACCTCCCGAGGTCCCTTCCAGTTCTAGGATTCTATGATTCCTCCCCGCCCCCGCCCCTCCCCCATGGGAAGCGCAGCAGTTTCCTGTGGAGGGATGAGAAAGAAAGAGTAGTTCTCACTCTCATAAAACTGCTCGAGAGATGGGAAAATGGATCCTGCACCTTTACCTCTTCCCTAAGAGGCCCATGATCAGAAGAGCAAGTGCCTTGGAAACCTTTTCCTTCCTGAATATTGCTTCTGCCAGGAGAGGGGAATTTCCACAATCTATAAACTTCTAGGAGAGGGAGAAGCACATCCCAAAAATCCCCTGGCTTTAGAACTACAGCAGAAAGCTCTTGGCGGAGGTATTTGATTCCACTATGCTGGTAGAGCATACTTGATATGCGACTATTACAAACCACCGTGTGCTTCTAATGAGAAGTCCTTTTCAAGTAAAGGGTCAATGGATACCCAAAGGATGTCTGAATATCCTTTGAGAAGTTACAAAATCATCTTTTTTTCAAACTCACCTTAACACACCCGTAACCTAATTCACGCTGTGCAGTAATATTTCCAACATGATCTACTGGATCCTCACATTCAATGAACTCCTCCGGCCTGTAAACGATCAAAACCCATCACATTCACACAGTTAAATGAGGTGGGGGAGATAGAAAATAAGTTAACTCATAAGGGAAAACATCACATTGAGGTCCCTTATGCCATCACGACTCACATGAATTGCTAGCCCTGTCACCAATTCTTGTCCCCCATATATGCCACCTCTCCTGTTATCACCCCATCTGTCCCAGCTTGTCACCTGTCTTCCCTACGTAGTCCCGCTTTGTCCTTCCCTTATGAATGCCCCCTTCTGTTGACTGCTCTACAGTAGGGATGTTAAAGATCAATTAATTGAATAGTCAAGTGGCCTCATGAATTCAGTTAGTCGACTATTCTACAGTTCCCAGGGGTGGGGCCAGCAGTCAGTGTGCTCCAGCCCTATTCCCGAGGAGCCTCCTGCCACTCCGCGCTGTGGGTCTGAGCTCCCGGACCCAGCATGAGCCAGAACTGAGCTGGGCTACCTGCCAGCCCAGCTCCTAATACACTTTAAATGCAGAACCACAGCAGGGGGCGGTCCTAGACCCATCACAAGCCAGGACCGAGCCAGGCTGCTGGCCAGCCTGCTAAAAAAATTTACTGGCCGGGGGGAGGGGGGAAATGCCTGTAGTCTATAGCATTAACCTATAATCTTTTGCTTATCGGTTAATCGACTATACTATTATATCCCTACTCTGTAGGCCTCTTTCTGCCCAAGGTAAACCTATTCCCAGAACTAGTGCCTCACACTGCCCTTTCCCTTATGCTCCAGCTCCCTGCCTTAGCACCCGACTCTTTACCCCTCAACTCCTACACATAAGAACTGCCATACTGGATCAGACCAGCAGTCCATCCAGCCCAGTATCTTATCTGAAGACAGTGGCCAATACCAGATGCCCCAGAGGGAGGACTCACAACAGGTAATCCTCACATGACCCCCTCCCCATCACTCACCTCCAGAGATTGACCACGCACTGAAAAACTTCCCTTTTGTTTGTTTTAAAACTTCTGTCTATTAATTTCATTTGGTGATGCCTAGTTCTTATATTGTGGGAATAAGTACGTAACTTTTCCTTATTTGCTTTTTCCATACCAGTCATGATTTTATAGACTTCTATCATTTTCCCCCCCCCCCCTTAAGTTTCCTCTTTTCTAAACTGAAAAGTACTAATCTTTTTAATCTCTCTACATATGGAACTGTTTTCAAACCCCTAATCATTTCTGTTGCCCTTTTCTGAACCTTTTCCAATGCCAAGATATCTTTTTTGAGATGAGGTGACCACATCTGCACACAGTAATCAAGATGTGGGCGTACCATGGTTTTATGCAGAGGCAAAAAGATAGTCTCTGTTTTATTCTCCACCCCTTTTTTAATGATTCCTGGCTTTCTGTTTGCTTTTTTCTATTTACACTTCTCATCCCTCTGTTCCCAGCCCCCACATTAATCCTTATCTGCCCGGCTCCCCCATCTCCCTCTCCTGCCACTGCCCTCCCCATCACTCCTCCAGCCCCCCATCCCGCTCTCCACCCCGCCCCTCCCCCACCACCCCCCCC